TATTATTATTATTATTATTATTATTATTATTATTATTATTATTATTATTATTATTATTATCATTATCAATATCATCGTTTTATACATACCCGTCCCATCAATCGAACATTCCTCAATACACTCTACAACTCAACTTTTGAATAATGCTTAAAATATCAGTTTCTTTATGTACTTATTTCCTTGTACAATATGCCAGATGATCTCTAAGCAATAATTTTACAGAAATATATCATAACTGAATAATGATGAGGTGAATCATACGATTTCTTAGAGAAACCACTTCTTTGATGAAAATGACAATGGTCATCAATAATTCTAATTATTCTCAATAGATCAGCTCATCTACGGAACAACGAACCTTTCCACCGTGATTCAAGTCATTAATTTTCTCGGAATCAGCACGACTGAAGAACGGTGCTGAGAAGCATCGCAACTGCATATCGAACGGCCTTATCGGACCGCCGAACAACATTCCCTCAAGACCACCGAACATATTTTCTGCTCTGAATTAATTCATTATCTTTATTCATATCTATCCATTTTCCATTCACGTTCACTTGATTATTCACATAAAATTGCTCGCAAGTCTTCACCGTTTAAATGCACAATGTGTACACCCCAAACCCTCATGGAGAACAAACGTTGCAGACTGCTTAGATCGTAACTCAGTGTGATGTTTACAGACTGCTTCTTGAATGTCATTCCAATTCAGTAACTTGAAAACTATTACTGTGAATATTCACAGAGTTCAGAACCAAGTTCAGAATAATTATTAAATTATTTGTGAAAGCATAAGGAAGCAAATGCTTTCCACCCAGTCACAAGCTAACGCCCCAAACTAACTAGCTAATCTGAATGATGCCCAAGCATTCACGCGACCAGACAAGATGTTACAATTCATAAGAAATACGATGGTTGTTTGCAATCAGTTCTTCAAATTCCGCATAAAACATTCGACAAAACTGCATTACAGTTCTCATGATGACGATGGTAAATATATGAAAATTCTAGTGATCAGTTTTGCATACTGTGGATTATTATTGTATTATTTGAGAAGAAAGGATCGAATCGTTGACGCGATATCTATAGATACGGATTGTTTTGCATATTATGATTATTGCTTATTCGAGATAAAAACCAAGAATTAAAAGTCGCAAGAAAAAAATCCCAATATATATTCGGTGTTGATAGTCATCTACACGCATATGCTGTTGTAAAAAATTGTGATGATCACTTGAATAAATAATCAAACAATTGTAATAACAAATCTATTTTGATGTCATAATATATGGTGCTGAAAATAATATCAACTAAAAAATACCAAATGAGTTATGTCATCTTACAGATCGAATTCCACTGCAATAAGTGCTCCAACTGGAATGAATCGATGCGACGTAAACGGACAAAATCAAAGAATTTGACTGATTCAACCGATCAATACATTTATTATTATTATCGTTTCATGTACACAAATGGACGAATATGAACCCAAATGAAATGACCGAA